AAAGTCACGTTGAAGAGAAACAACAAAATAACAAAATATATATAAAACAATAAAAAATTCTCACGACGTTTCGACCATAACTCAAACGGTCATCATCAGGTGTGTCGGTTTGCATACATTTATTTTGAAAACGGCATATTTATTTATTTATTTATATAAAAAATAACGTTTGCGTCACGCGCAACGATTGGCAGTTTGCCCAGGACTAATCCATCTATTTTTTGAAAAGAGGAGGGGGGAGACGAAATTTGTTTTCATGTATGCTGTCTGAAAGCCACTGTAAGCGTGAACAATCAATCAAGAACTGAAATGATTTATCAAATCTTTCCAATGATTGCTAAGATAGAATCCATCTTCTCGGTTGAAATTGTCTCTGTGCTTGTATATGTGGATAGCCTCATGAACGAATCTCTCATGGAAGCCAGATGGCTTACAAAGAACCTCCGTCTTGGAAAAGTCAATGGCATGTGAGCCTACTGAATTAGAACAATGATCTGCTACGGCCGAGGTGTTGGTCCTACCGTGTTTAAGGTCTGCTTTATGTTCACGAATGCGGTCCGAGATATGGCGTTTGGTTTCTCCAATGTAACTACTACCACAGAGGCAACTTAGTTTGTAGACACCAGGGTATTGTATGTCCGGAATCACATCTTTTACAGACGGAACCAGATCACGGATTTTATGTAATGTGTTGAAACGGACCTGGATCTTGTGTTTATTCAAGATTTTGGAGATCTTTTTTGTGATCCCAGCAATGTAGGGTAAAGTGATGGTTTTGAAAGGCTCCTCAAGAGGGTTCTTCTTCATGGTTTGAGTGATAGCTTTGCGGATTGTATAGTCGGAGTAACCATTAGCCCTAAGAGCTTGGTGTACGTGCTTGAGTTCACTGCTTATGTGTTCCTGGTCGGATATGCATTGGGCTCTATGATACAGAGTCTTGATGAGAGAATTCTTCTGTGATGGATGGTGGTGGGAATCCGGTTTCAGATAAGCATCCGTATGGGTAGCTTTCCTGTAGACAGAGTGGCTCATTGAACCAATTTGAGACTGACGCCATCCAGACTGCCACTCTGCGCCCAACCTTATGGAAGAGGTACGTGGATGACACTTTTGTCATCTGGCCACATGGCCGGCCTGCTCTAGACCAATTCTTCGACCACATCAATTCCATACACCCAGCCATCAGATTTACCATGGAAGTCGAAATAGATGGCAAGATACCTTTTTTGGATGTCCTAATTAAAAAGAGACCTGATGGTTCAATGAGCCACTCTGTCTACAGGAAAGCTACCCATACGGATGCTTATCTGAAACCGGATTCCCACCACCATCCATCACAGAAGAATTCTCTCATCAAGACTCTGTATCATAGAGCCCAATGCATATCCGACCAGGAACACATAAGCAGTGAACTCAAGCACGTACACCAAGCTCTTAGGGCTAATGGTTACTCCGACTATACAATCCGCAAAGCTATCACTCAAACCATGAAGAAGAACCCTCTTGAGGAGCCTTTCAAAACCATCACTTTACCCTACATTGCTGGGATCACAAAAAAGATCTCCAAAATCTTGAATAAACACAAGATCCAGGTCCGTTTCAACACATTACATAAAATCCGTGATCTGGTTCCGTCTGTAAAAGATGTGATTCCGGACATACAATACCCTGGTGTCTACAAACTAAGTTGCCTCTGTGGTAGTAGTTACATTGGAGAAACCAAACGCCATATCTCGGACCGCATTCGTGAACATAAAGCAGACCTTAAACACGGTAGGACCAACACCTCGGCCGTAGCATATCATTGTTCTAATTCAGTAGGCTCACATGCCATTGACTTTTCCAAGACGGAGGTTCTTTGTAAGCCATCTGGCTTCCATGAGAGATTCGTTCATGAGGCTATCCACATATACAAGCACAGAGACAATTTCAACCGAGAAGATGGATTCTATCTTAGCAATCATTGGAAAGATTTGATAAATCATTTCAGTTCTTGATTGATTGTTCACGCTTACAGTGGCTTTCAGACAGCATACATAAAAACAAATTTCGTCTCCCCCCTCCTCTTTTCAAAAAATAGATGGACTAGTCCTGGGCAAACTGCCAATCGTTGCGCGTGATGCAAACGTTATATTTTATATATATAAATAAATATGCCGTTTTCAAAATAAATTTATGCAAACCGACACACCTGATGATGACCGTTTGAGTTATGGTCGAAACGTCGTGAGAATTTTTTATTGTTTTATATATATTTTGTTATTTTGTTGTTTCTCTTCAACGTGACTTTACCGAAAAAACTAAGAATATGAATTACTGCAGTCACGAAAGCTTTAAATCAAAATTTAATCGCCTCTACGGGGAGGGTTTTCACATAACTTTAAGATCGTTCAACAAACTCCGGGATAAGAAAGCTCAGCTGATCGAGTCTCTTACCTTCCTGAAGAGATGCCGCGACTCTGGGGTAATACCAATCGCATTTACACTCACCTCTGCTACTGTAACTTCTTCTAATGCGAAACGAATTCTTTTCAAAACTAGCTTAGCTCTTATCTCAGAAAAAATCAGACTTATACGCACAGAACTAGATCAGTTAGACAAGACACTCTACAAATCACACTTATCATTGACGGCAATAATGTCCACATCGGATTGGGAACATGTAGACAATATGACTGCCTCTTCAGCTGCTACTATGTCGACCAAATGTAAGGAAAACCTGATTTCCAAATTTAACCTCCTCTTCAACAAAAGACCGGACCCATACACCAAAAAGTTAGACGTTAATAAAGTCGTAATTAATCGCAGTAACAGTTCTATTTCCGATGGTCTGAAATCCGTTTTAGCTAAAGGTCTAAACTTTGCAGTCACACCTAAACACATACCAGTTAATGATATAATTGCCCAAGTAGACGTTGCTCTCAGGGGCCTGGGTCACATCGCTGCAGACGTAGCAAGATCTGAAATCGCTGCAACCCTCAAAAACGCTAAGATGCCAGCTAGCAACCTCAGCAAAGATGAGCGTTTTGAATTATATAAATTAAAAAAGAGGAATGATATTGTAGTTCTCTCAGCTGACAAAGGCAATGCTACTGTCATCATGGATAAAATAGAATACAACAACAAAATTAAAGAATTACTCGACGATGGTAGTTATACAAAAATAAAAAGAGATCCCACCAACAGCCTCGTCACACAAACCAACAAAATAATTTCTGATTCAACCGCATTAATTGATCAATCTAAACAGTTTTCGTTGAAACCTTCTGCTGCCAGGCCACCAAGATTATACGGCTTACCAAAAATACATAAAGTTGATACACCTCTTCGTCCCATAGTCTCTACTATCAGCTCCCCCACCTACAAACTAGCTCGTTTTTTGTCTGAAATCCTGCGTCCTTTCACTGGAAAAACCACCTCTGCGGTACAAAATTCTACTCACCTGGTATCAACAATCAAGGGTATTTCCCTGTCCCCAGACGACCTGCTTGTCAGTTTTGATGTAGTTTCCTTATTCACCAAGGTTCCTGTACCTGACACCATTGCAATCATTGAAGACTTGGTTCATCAAGGACTAAACACTGAGGTACCCCCCCTGGTGAGACACTGTTTAACCAATACATACTTCACTTGGAATGGAACTTTCTACAAACAAACTGAGGGCACCCCAATGGGCTCCCCCCTTTCTCCAGTTATAGCTAACATTTTCATGGAGAAATTTGAGACTGACGCCATCCAGACTGCCACTCTGCGCCCAACCTTATGGAAGAGGTACGTGGATGACACTTTTGTCATCTGGCCACATGGCCGGCCTGCTCTAGACCAATTCTTCGACCACATCAATTCCATACACCCAGCCATCAGATTTACCATGGAAGTCGAAATAGATGGCAAGATACCTTTTTTGGATGTCCTAATTAAAAAGAGACCTGATGGTTCAATGAGCCACTCTGTCTACAGGAAAGCTACCCATACGGATGCTTATCTGAAACCGGATTCCCACCACCATCCATTACAGAAGAATTCTCTCATCAAGACTCTGTATCATAGAGCCCAATGCATATCCAACCAGGAACACATAAGCAGTGAACTCAAGCACGTACACCAAGCTCTTAGGGCTAATGGTTACTCCGACTATACAATCCGCAAAGCTATCACTCAAACCATGAAGAAGAACCCTCTTGAGGAGCCTTTCAAAACCATCACTTTACCCTACATTGCTGGGATCACAAAAAAGATCTCCAAAATCTTGAATAAACACAAGATCCAGGTCCGTTTCAACACATTACATAAAATCCGTGATCTGGTTCCGTCTGTAAAAGATGTGATTCCGGACATACAATACCCTGGTGTCTACAAACTAAGTTGCCTCTGTGGTAGTAGTTACATTGGAGAAACCAAACGCCATATCTCGGACCGCATTCGTGAACATAAAGCAGACCTTAAACACGGTAGGACCAACACCTCGGCCGTAGCAGATCATTGTTCTAATTCAGTAGGCTCACATGCCATTGACTTTTCCAAGACGGAGGTTCTTTGTAAGCCATCTGGCTTCCATGAGAGATTCGTTCATGAGGCTATCCACATATACAAGCACAGAGACAATTTCAACCGAGAAGATGGATTCTATCTTAGCAATCATTGGAAAGATTTGATAAATCATTTCAGTTCTTGATTGATTGTTCACGCTTACAGTGGCTTTCAGACAGCATACATAAAACAAATTTCGTCTCCCCCCTCCTCTTTTCAAAAAATAGATGGACTAGTCCTGGGCAAACTGCCAATCGTTGCGCGTGACGCAAACGTTATTTTTATATATATATAAAAATAAATAAATATGCCGTTTTCAAAAGAAATTTATGCAAACCGACACACCTGATGATGACCGTTTGAGTTATGGTCGAAACGTCGTGAGAATTTTTTATTGTTTTATATATATTTTGTTATTTTGTTGTTTCTCTTCAACGTGACTTTACCGAAAAAACTAAGAATAAGATTAAAGATATTACATTTCAACTAAGATATGCACAGTATTTTAAAGTATTCTCTGCTATGACGAATCATTGCTTCTTATATATGTTTTCCTTTTAGGGCACTGCTATTGATGCATTTGTTGTGTTATTGTCGTGATACAAGTATTTTGTGGAATAGTTGGCCAACAATGCCCTCCAAGAGGGGCTCGCCAGAACTCCCTCTAGTGGAGGCCCTGCTGCCAGCAGATGTACGAGTGAGCAATTTGCAGGGCTGTATACCACCTACGCTTAAAAATATGCGATCATGTGGGTACCCGAATGGATGACATCGCTTTTCGCTCTCATTCCACTTTCCTGTGCTCAGTTCCCCAATCAACGCAGCTGAAATAAAACGCGAACCAGGAAGGGGACCTCGGCAGGCCTTGTCGTCTCGCCAGCGAGTGTCATGAGAGTTGCGCAATCTGTGGCCGCTGTGCTTGCTCACACTGGTGAGGGACGTGGCGTCGCCAGAAGCTCTGCAGAAGAAGGAAACTAGAAAGATGTGGCTGCGACTTGATACACAACTGCTGTCGTTGTGCCTCCTGGCAGGTAAAAACAAAAATTCGTATATTTTGTTGAGAACAAATGAGACTTGCTGATTTGAGATGGTAAATGTGTTTTTTTTTTATTTTCAATGTGGTTTGCAAAGGCATCCTGTGGCAATGAGAGATGCCCCGTCTCGATGGGCCTTCGCCTGGTTAGAAGACAGCAATCACTGCGGGTGGCCTAATATTCCCACAGCGCGATGATTTTGCGAGCGCTAAGTAAAAGGTGTTGCGGACTGCTTATTTTGTCAAATAAAGCAGCAATGCTGGCTCTGCCCTTTTTTTTTATTAAATAAATTTGTCCAGAGGCTGTTTGTGCAGCCTGTGTATAATGCAAGACTGTTAAGCCACTCCACATCTAAACAATTCCTAGTGTGTGCTCTGTTGGGCATCACTTCTAGTAGACTTTGGATAACTAAAAAGATATTCAGTTCCTAATAAACGCTATATTTTGGCTTCATGGCCATTTAGACACAGTGCCTCATCTGCCACGCTGCGTCTCTTCCCTGATCGTGGTAGATTCATGGGAAACAGCATCAAGTGCTCAATCGTATCACCAGGTAGATGTGTACAACGGTTTAGCCAAATATGATGCTGTAAATTTAACAGGCGCGTTTCCGCAGACACTTGCATTTCAAGTGTGGTCATATGTCCGGGTAGGGCGGCGCATTGTGCATTTTCTCTATCAAATCTTTCGGCATTCTTTGCTGCTGCTCTGGGCATCTACAGGAGTTGAAGATGCCTGCAGCAGTGAGTGGCGAAGATCACACTTGGATGAATTTCGCAAATTTTGTTTGCAAAATCGTTTCAGCCTGGCAATGTGGAGCTCTGCATGTGGTGGTGGACGTGAGCACGGTGGCGGGGGAGGCAACCCTGAGCTGTAAAGTGACCCCGAGCAGCGAGCACATCGCCGTGAACTGGTACTCCCGCTCGCCGGGGCAGTCCGACCAGGACAAGGTGCTCGTGTGTCACCCGGTGGTTTGGTGGCGGAGCCAGTACACCCGCACGTGCTCCAACGTGCACACGTACCTCGCTGATGACAACACCTTCGTGTTGAAGGTACGGGCCAAGACTCGTGGTCATTGTCAATCACCAATTTGTGATGCATAAAGAGTTTATTTTTGTGTTTCACGTGCCAAGATGTTTTGTTGTTGTAGCATCATAGCTGCGTCGTTGAGGTTAATGGATGACGATGCTGCGTTCATCTTGGTCTAGTTTTGAAAAAATATATACATGCTGCTTAAGTGAAAGTTACAATGAGAACGTGAAAGGGGATTATTTTTTCCACAACATATAAAAAGGCTACTTCTGCATCTTCAGCTGCAGATGTCGATTATGTGGCGACTCAAAATTTCAATTCCTCACTTTGAGACGTTATTTCTCGTTCACTCTTCCCCCCTCCCACGTTGTATTTATCAGAGCCACTTTCAATATTTAATTACTGAGCACACTTGACAGGTTCTTGACAAAGATCCCCTGTGTAGCCTTCACAGACTGTTGGGGCAAGTGCTGTTAGCGAGCACCAATGAAGGCCGGCACGGCACACGAGGGGGTGGGTGGCAAGCACCATGTCCGACCACCTTTGTCTCCCTAGTAGCGATGTTTACACACCGCACCAGGTACTCATTTGAGGCTGAGTCGACCTCAGGGGAGGCCCAGGACCGGTTCGGATAATCGTCACTGGTGGTGGCCGTGAGCGGGAATCGAAGGTCCTCGGGTTCGTTGCACAGCACGATAACCACTATACCACCACTCCCCACGATGCACCATAAACCACACACACACGTGTAAGAAGCGCATTCGATATATCAACCCTCAAAGCCAACACCAGAATCCCACGAGAAACTCGGCAGTTATCTATGGCTGCTGTTTCCACCAGCTGTGAAAGGCAGCGATGATGACGGAAACCATCTGTCCATTTCGAGAACCAAAAACAAAGATCCTCCCGAGAGTCTTAACAGACTGTTGGGGCAAGTGCTGTTCGCGAGCACCTATGAAGGCCGGCATGGCACACAACGGGGTGGGTGGCCAGCACCACGCCTGTCCGCTCGTGTTTACTACACATCACATCAGATACCTTTGGGAGGCCCAGGACGAGTTTTTGATAATTGTCACTGGTGTTTGGTGGCCGTGAGCGGATATCGAACTCGGGTCTTTGCCGGGTTCGTACCGCAGCGTGCTGGCCGCTACACTACCTCTCCACACACCACACACACACATCCATATAATACACACACACACACACACGCGAGTCCCTCGAGTTAAACCCCAGACAGGTACAGAGCTGCTTTAATGTGGAATCATCTCCAAGACAAACTAAAATGTGCCACCATTCTTAACGTATTTAAATGTCTGCAACCGATATGGCTAGAGCGTATTCTGCGTGAAACGGCCATGTGCACCCATTGTTCATGCGTGTGACTGCGGTGCGATGTTCATGTGCACTACCCTGGCCGTCTTCCTCCCGTCCTTGATACTGTATTTTATGTGGTATATAAATGTAGGCTGCATACGTTGTAGATTTGAATGTATCAGTATAGGTGTCATTGCACGTTTGCTAAATGTGTATCACTCGACACCCTGGACACCCTTGCAAACAAGATGGGAATTTACAGGTAAAATGGGTTTTTTTTCTATAAATAAAATATCAAGAGGCGAATGGTAGTGGTTATGCACATCTATAATCCAGCACTGAAGGCAAGGGTTGGTGGATGACACATCTTGTGAAACTCCCTTCCCATGGGCATCGGGGGTCTCCATATCCTGGCTTGCTAGAATGCAGTACAGCAAATGTGAACTAATTTCCATCTCTTGTAATCTGTTCACATGCATTTTCTCTGTGGTACTCCAGTTTCCTCCAACATGTATAAACACCTCTTGATCCGGTGAGCTTGGGCAGAGCTTGGGCTATTGAAACGTGGTGCATGCCCGAACACGCTACCGCCATCTGTAAGATGTCACTCCATCTGGCTTTAACATCCTGCATGCTTGGCGTGCATCTGGATCCCAAAGAGCAGCTTAGCAATAATCCGCAACATATGTCTCGCTTTTAAAAGTTGTCCACTGGCGCTCAGACCCACCTCTTTCTCACTAATTATTTCCTGCCACAAGACAGCAACGGATATTTTTTTTATCAATAATACAGGTTTTTTGGATCTTTTTTGGATACAGGATATTTGTATGACTTCTATTCAACCTTCTACACCTCCTTTTTAGTCTTCTTCCGTATTGCTGCTGATGTAGAAGCAGAGCAACAACTAGAATTTCACATTTAGGTGGTCAAGCCAGATAGCCGCGTCATGAGCAGCGGAGTGTATCGCTGTGATGTCTCCTTCGTATTTCTGGATTGTGCATTGCGTCATATGTTGTACTAGGGTCTGTTCTGGATGACCACAGTCGCACACTGTGCATCAGGTATCCGAATCTGCCATGGAATATGCAGTGGATGCGGTTTAGGTTGGACTATGAGCGTCGTGGAAAATCAAAACCAGGGATATTCTGCGTTGGGTCTTTCACAAGGTGTTTGTTTGTGAGTTCTTTTGAACTCCATTCAGTTCTCCAAGTCCTCTACAGTGATTGTGGCTCTATCTTCGCTGGTGTTTATAATTTGCCCTGGCTCAGCCGAAGCCAAGTTCGATCGCCGCCTTAGCGACATCCTTTCATCCTACAATCTATGAACAGTCAACGATGGACCAACTCGTGTGTCAAGTTAGGATGTGGGCAGCACAAACTAAACACAAAAAATAACTGCCTTTTGTGATTAGTTTGTTGTCCTTCCCCGCATTTCCGATTAAGATGGTTGGCTTCGTACGGTGCAAACAAATCTTCAACATACATACATGGACCGAATAGTTGAGCTTAAATCTAAACATCAATTCAAATCACTCGGAACATTTCCAATCTCTTACGCGGATATTCACATCATATTTGTCTGAGCATTATCTGCCAGACGACCACTCCGAAAAATAACTTTCAAAACTTTTTTTGCGGATAAAATACACCACGTTAAAGTAGCTCAGAATATTTTATAATCAGAATTTTTTAGACTGGAGGAATCCGATAAGCTATGAAGCTCGTTTTGACAGATGTCGAGTATGGGCTGGTCAGCGAGCTACAGACCTCCACCCCCTCCTTCATTTCACTATCATGTGATGCCACAATCTGCGCAGTTAACTTGAAATCAACCTTAAACACAACACTGACACATTCATGTCAGCCGGCTCCCCCGTCGCTGCAACCAGTGGCTCTCTGCAGCAGCTGTTGCATCACAGTGCAACAGACACCGATTGGAATCCATCTTGTGCTGCTGACTCGAGACTGCATAACATGTCGCCTTCCCTGTAGTCAACAAGCTCATGTATATATGTTGAACTTCTTTCGCACCGTACGTAGCTAACCATGCTAATCGGAGGTACGGGGGAAGGACAACTTACAAGCTCATCGTGGTCTCATGCGCTTCATACATAAACAAACACATCAACTTCCCAGCTGACCACCCACTTTAACTCTGCTCTACACTAAATGCTCATCTCCATCATAACCATGAGGCAACTTGGCACGATCACCTGGCCGACTCTTCGCACGCCCTTAATTTTTTTTTAGAAAGATAAAATTCTCCAGCATCATCGCCACCATCAGCACATCACTTCTCGCCTGTCGTAATCAACCCGTGGCCATTCCTTCTTCTGCCCCTCATTCTACAGTCTGCTGCCATTTTTAACACCCCAACACGTTCTTGACCTAATCCCACGTTCAACAATAAAAACCTCTCCCCTGTATCTCCTACCAGCCAGCGTCTTTTAAGCATTGCGCCGGTGAACTTGCCAATAATAGTTTATCATGTTGCTCATCTGGTCAGTTTCCTCCACCACTTACCATGGGCCAAGTGACATCTCTACAATGGAAACCTGCCTCTTACCCAGAAGATTCTGCACACTTACCAAGACTTCACTCATCAAGATCACCGATGACATCAAAGCCTCGACCGACTTGAGTTCCATCATCGCCACCCTAGTTGGCCTTGACACATCTTTTGACCCTTTAAACGATGGGTTTTTGGTTAAACGTCAAGAATCTGATTTCGCCATCGGTGGTGCAACTCTCAAGAGGCTCGCGTATATCTCTCTGACAGAAGGTCCGACGTCAAGGTTGGCAAGTCCTCAATCCCAGCCGTCACGTCCACTGAAGGTGTCCCCCTCAGGGATCCATCCTGATAGTCATGACATAAATTATCACACTTATGCCAATGAGACTCAATTATACTCCTCTCTTCAGAGCCCACTCAACCTTGCAAATTAGACCTCAACATCACAGCACAAGTTTTGGTCAAACTACCTCCGACTAAGCCCTGAAAAAACCGTAGACATTTTTCCGTGTACCAAGCAGCGGCTTACCATAGCGTCGCTCCGTCATAACCTACTCACCACTGGCTCCACCATCAGTCTCTCAAATCATCTGGAAATCATCGGTGTCACCTTGAACCACGTCCTAAACACAATGCGCACATGTAACCATCATCTCAGTGCCTCACTGCACATCCGCCAAATGTTGACCACAGCCGCAGCAAACACTCTGGCAGAGCTCATCTCTATTGCAACGCCTTCCTTACTCGGATATCTCAAGAACACCTCGCCAAACTACAGCGGCTCCGAAAAAATGTTGTCTCGTGCTGTCCTGGGCGTTAGGCGCAGCCATTTGGCTCAGATGGCTTCTCTAAAAATGGTTGCACCGACTTCCCACCGAATCAAGGATACAGCGCAATGTCCGCTACCCTGTGGCACCGAATTCTCTTTTAACATCTCCCGCCATACCTCCACTCTTCTTACTCACCCCACTGACCACGGCAAACTGCCGCGTCCTCCAGAGTACGTCTAATAATCCGCTCACCATGTCCAGAACCAGCACTGTCCCTGGCTGAGCGGCGCTTCACTGTAACTGCACCGGCAGCCGTCTGGAACTCTCGCTCCCACCGCACATTCGCTTCATCCACACACCATCCACCTTAAAGCAGCAGCTCAAGGGGGGCGCCATGGTGGCGAGATGTTAACTACCTCGCCTGGTATGCAGGAGGTGGTGGGTTCGATCCCGATCCTGACACCTGCTGTATATTTAGAGTTTGCATGTTCTTCCCCTGGTCGTGTGGATTTTTCCCCGGGTCCTCCCGTTTTTCTGTCCAAATTTAGAATCATGAGTTTAGAGTAATTGGCTGCTATAAATTTCCACATGATAAGTCACTTAATTGAGCTAGCATTTGTGGCCAGGTCACTTCTGATAAAGAGCAATATAGCTCAGTGGGCCTTACCTGGTAAAATACAAAATAGTTTAGTTTCAAGACACACCTACTAAGGCTATATGCATATCATTTGTGATGATATGTGCGTCTTATAAATTGTATGTATTAGTGTAATATTATTTTTTATTGCTGGCACCAGCTCACCACCTGGCTGCCTTCTCGCTTGTTCATGAATTCTTACAGCGCTGAGTCGTTCTCCCCAAGAGCGAACAGAAACTTTGGCGGCGCATTACGAGGCTCAATCATGAAATAAAATCGAGTGAGAAACAGAGTCTTTGCTCTGTTGCAGGTGCCGAAGGTGACGAGGGAGTGGCATGGGCATTACATGTGCCTCGTGGAGACCTGGCGTTGGATAATCCTGGGGCCGATGTGGACATTTGTGGAAAATGCCAGCGCAGAAGTCGTGCTGATGAGTAGAGGTGGGTGAAGTGGAGGGATTAATCTATCTGGAACTGGGAGTCACGTCACTAATTTGACATCACTACCGTGTTTTTCATGTAGCATTGGTTGACATCACCTTATATAATGTAATATAACAATGTAACTATTCTGAAAATCTGAAACGGTCCCCTATAAATCCAAAACTCCGAAAAAAAATTGTTTTCATTTTAAATTCTGGTGACAAATAATTATGGAAGATGTCTTCAGATCACTACTCAAAGGTCAAGAGTGACCATGTGAAAGACTAATAGTACATTTTAAAACATGTAAATAGTATAAATATTGACTTAAAGCTTTCGTGATTACAGGAATTCATATTCTTGGATCTTTTGGTAAAGTCACGTAAAAAGCAATCGTCATCAGGAGAAAAAATAGCTTAAAAAATCGTATTCTTTGTTTTTTCTACGTGACTTTACTGAAAGAACCAAAGAATATGAATTCCTGCAGTCACGAATGTTTTAAGTCAAAATTTATGGAAATAGTATTTTTTAAAGCTAATCAACATTTGGTTGTCTGTTACAGGTAGAAACCTTCAGCAACCGAGGAATGTGACAAAAAGTAAGCCGTTTTCATGAATTCATATATACAAATTTTACACTGCTTCTCTTCCAAGTGTAACTGAAATATTATTATTTTCTACCAACAGATAGAAATATTCAGCCATCAGTGGAAACTTCAACAAGTAAGCTAGTCTAATATTTATAAATGCTCAATTTGTTCAATACACTTAAATAATTTCTTGAAATGTTTCTTAGTAAGTGTAAATGTCACAGAAGAATATTTTCATTCCGATTCCGTGCACCTCGTCCTTTTAAAAATCCATCACACATGGCATACAGTCATCACGCTCACGTCGGCACCATGCTTAGATTTACGCTCATTTAGCCAGGACAGCCTGGCTTAGTTTCACGACTCTCCATCATGAGGGTCCTGCCAAATTTATAAAGCGGGGGAGTGATGTTGCTGTGTGTAACCCCAATTGAGTAATTTGCAGGTCATTTTATCATTGGAATGTTTTGGCCAATACCCAGATACACTTTATTTATTCAGTTTTATCGACGATAATCATTTACTACGGAATGACCACCATGTCTTTGTGCTCCACCCTGTATGTGATAGGCATCGGGCAAGTGAACCGCACGGGCAATGAAACGCAGTCACTTGTGCCCACTGTGTTGCTGTGCGGCAGCCTGCTTCTGACAGTGGCAGCGTTACCCTGTGTGTGCTGCTGTGTCATGAAGAAATTGCTATTGCAAAAAGGTAAAACACCTTCATCATTATCAGTGTAATTTGTGGCCCGTCCTGTGATGTCTTTATGGAATAAGCCGTTTGGTTTGGTTGTGCCAGGGAAATGTCAGTCTGGCCTGGTGGGTTTGGTGGCACCTTTTGCAGCACTTAAGGTCAGGGTATAAGCAGTGTGTTAAGCAGCTTGCTCCCAGTCGTGAGATCGTGAGCTCAAATTCCAGCCAGGTTCAATTCGGCTCCTCATCTCAGGCCCGCTAATGGAGCTGATCGCTGCACAATTTGATTGTGAAGAGACGTTTGCTTGATTTTCTGTTACTTTAGCCACTGTGGTGCTCGTAGGGTAAAGTGAGCTGCACGTTGTGCGACTGTGTGGCTGCATGAAGCCAAAATACATTTCCTAAAAAGACCCCAAGGTGTCCGACCAGGCGGCCGACGCGACACATTTCCATAGAGTGCCCTTGACCGAGAACCAGCAACCTTCTAATGCGGCGCTAAGCGCACCATCATGGAAAATCACGCTAGCCCCTGTACACAATTGTACATAATACGCAATCAAAACAGCACGTCAAAAGCACGGATGCCTCGAGACGAGACCAACGTGTACAATGGCATTTTTACTCTGTCACGTGACATCAGTTGCAATATAATTTTGTTTTTCTGAACAGATGAAGAATCATCAGTGGATCAGCCAGAACAGTGAGTCAAATCAGAGTCTAACAAAGAGACTAAATGCCACAATCAATCACCATCCATCTCCAGAGCCCACCCACGCCACTCCAGCCCTAAAATAACACAAAGAGGACTTCCCCCATAAATGATCAAAAATTGCTTTTATGAAATAACAAGTGAATAATGTTGAATTTTTTTTTTCTATTTTTCAGTCTGAGTGACAAAGAAAAAGAACATCCAGAAAATGTGTACGATAAGCCTCAAGGTAAACGGCCAATTGTAATTGCAATACAATGCACGCACAATCACACTTGTACCACGCGTCATAGTCATAGAGGAAATGTGTGCTTCCCACTGATGTTCTCTTGTGGTTGTGGCCGGCTCTGTGCAGGCCCTAAAGCGCCCATCCCTGCCGTTGTCGCTAAGGAAGGTAAGCTCCTGCAAACGTGCAACACGCCTGTAAATAACGCACTTTACATTTATTTGACGTAAAACTTGTAAAAAAATAAGTTACGCCCTGTTACTCATATAATTCATCGAGTGCTGTATGTGTTACTGTTCCATTGTGAGCTTTCAGGCATTGTGAGCTGAAAACATTTAAAGGACTGCAGTGGCGATAATATTTTAATGAAAAAGAAGACAATAATTTGAAGCCCTCCTTTCTTTGCCCCGCAGATCGCAGCGAGTACGTTGAGATGTCAAGTTGCAGTGTGCACGTGGATAAAAACGATTACCAGGTGATGGGACCTCACATTTGCAAACCGTCACTTAGCAACTATTTAAACAAATGATATAGCATCTGGCTGTGATTCGCAAAAGCAGGTCATTACCCCACAGGATTAATTAGGCACAGGATCATTGGTTTGGGTTGTGCCTTGCTTTCCCCCTGCGTTTTTCCTGTGTAGTGAGCAGTTCAAGTGGTTGGCCCACAATTTGGGGGCTCAGAAAAATGTAACTGCACGATATTTTTTGGGCATGGAAATACAACACGGTTGTGGCATACGGTTCTCACTGTTGCCACTGTTAATGTGGTGTTGTTATTATTCTTGTGTTGTTTTGTAACTGTGCATGAAGGTTGTCTTAAATATTGTCATATATAATATGCTCGAAGGTCTATTTTATTAACATTCTCGATGATGTTACCGTTTTACTGCCGACACTATATATGAACTGCATCTGCGACATGGCTACGTGATTGTGTGGCTTGACATTGAGGAAACTGCACTTTACCTCTCTGCCTGTCAGAGCTGGCACAACAGTTCAAGCTGCTCTGATGAGTATTGGCTGCTTCCGCTGTTTTTTTTTTGTTGCCAAGGAATTAACAACAGTGGAGAAAATTTGCATTTGAACCTGCTGTACTGTCGATAACGGCCATTGTTTGCCTCATTTATCTCGTAAATAAAGCGGTAATATATTTTCGTCACGTATCATCGTCACTACGTTGGCTTGAACAGACACACACAAACGAGTGAGTTTCCGGTAACGGATCGGGCACGTACGGTCGGCGCCGGAGACAACGATGCTCCTCATGGAGGCGTAGGAGATGGGGTTGAGGTCCTCGCGGTCCAGCTGTAGCCCCGTGGTGCGGATCTTTCCGGACGCGGCGTTGATTCGGTAGAAAGGGTTCGGCGGATCGATGGCGTACACGAGCGTGCCGTTCTCATTGAGGTCCGGGTCGGCCGCCGACACCTGTGGCGGGAGCAGTCGTGCCGTGACGTGCACTCGTGGGTAACCCCCCCCCCCCGCCGTGCCACCTCCCCATGACACCTCGTCAACAGCGGCACTTAATTAAACCGCCGCTCTTACTTCCAGTGATGCGGCATTGTGTTCCCCGTTCGTGGAGAAAAAACTGCCATTTCCATAATTTTTGCTTATCGCCTGTGACAGACGTGGTTAATTCAGTCCAGATAAACCCCATTAATTAGGGCTCATGTAACCTACGGTTGCCGCCGCTTGCGCGGGGAAAACAATGGCGAGCAGACGACACCGTCTCTGCACAAACGGGGCCCTCATCCTGCCTGCCGCCGGGTTTTTTTTGGTCCGCCCAGCACGACGGCGCATTTTATGTGTTGTGCATCGTGTTCGATTTTGAGCAATACACTGAGGAAATGTAATGTGTGAGATAATTCATAGTCAAATAGACGAATGAACTAACGAATGGATTTAAGTTCAATTAAAGTGACTGATCACATCATTGATTCAGTCAACAAAGCAATAAAAAAAGATAATTAGCTAATGAAGACTTATGTAGTATCAGCCACATGTGCATCCAGTTTAAGTGGTTTTACAGAGACTTGGCGAGAATGTCCGAGCCCTGAATCAATAAAAAGTATTCTCTTCTGAATATTAAACCCAACTGCAGAAAATCTGCTGGCATAAAAGCATCTGTCCACATGCAGCGACCGTAATATGTTTCCTTGGTAAGTTTGTCAAGGCACATTGATATTCTGCTGAAATGAGTTCAAGGACGGTGTTCATCTCCCGATTATAGCCCTGAGCTAGCGGTGGCAAATCCACATTCCTGTTGTGGGAGTGAGTTTTTCCATTGAATAATCACTGTAGTGCCACAGTGGTAACATTTTACCGACCGCTAATGGGTTGATGGACCGAGTCAACCCCCCGACCGGGATTTAGACCTTGCGACCTTTCCGTTGCGAGCCGCTGAGCGACCGCGCTGGAACACTGTTGCCCTGGGGGAACTGATTTGCAGGGAGGGTAGCGACCACCCCTCCCCCCGTCCTCATGTGACCCTCGTGACGGTGCCTCTGCTGCATTGTGGGCGGTGGCGGCGAGCGGCGACGAGCGGCGGTGGCGCACCGTGAAGATGTCGGTGCCGCCCGGTGTATTCTCCACGATGGTGACGGCGTAGGGCAGGTCTCTCCATGCGGGATCGTTGTCGTTCACGTCCAGCAGTGTGATGTTCACCTGCCATGCCGGGTTAGCCAAGTTATGGAACACGCAGCATTGAATTTATGAAAAGCACGCAGCCTCATCTTTCCATCACCCATAAACGTGTGATGCATGTGCGATTGGAGCAGCTGTAAGACCAGGCCCATCGTCTCAATCCTCCCAGCTGATGTTTTGCTGTACTGGAGCTGGGTGCGGTTATTTTCTGTGGCTGGGCTGTAGGTTTTCTACAGCCCAGCCACAGAGGATATAATAACTGGGAATTTTCCGAGTGAAAGCATTTCTGAAATTGGGCCAATGGAACGCTCAGCCAATCTCTCAGCTTTGATGAACCGGCAAACGACCAAAGCGTGCCACAGCCCAACGCCCGGTGAGAAGCCCCCGTTATACGGCGAGCCAGCGCGACCCGCTCTGCCGCCGCGGACGTACGGTGGCGATGCCGGTCTTCTGGTCGTTTCCATCCCCTCCGTCCACCGCCCGCACGATCAGGATGTACTGCGACACTGCCTCGCGGTCCAGCAGCGTGGTGCTCGTGATGTCTCCTGTGGGGACACGCGCACGATGGCCCCGGTGGGCGGGCGCGGACCCGCAGTCGTCGTCCCGCCTTGGGGCGCGACTCTTCACGCGGCAGCAGCGAAGTCAGTCAGCAATAGTGGCAACTGTTTTCCAGTTTCACATATGGCTTAGTAATTTTCTCTAATTAGATTTCATTTTTCCCAGGACGCTTTGTGCGGGCTAATTACTGAGGGTGTAACAGCTCATTGATTCATTGATTAAGCTGGATTCATACCACAATGGGAACTTGGTAAGCAGTTTCCGTGTTGCGGGGGCTCACGATGCGTGCAGAGCATGGTGGTTTTAGGAAGTGATTATGTATTATTATCTTTGCATATTTCATTCTATATGAAAATTATGTTAATGTTACATTTAGGGTATTAAACAAAATATTTTACAACTGAGACAGAACAAATGAAAAACAATACAAACGAGACTAAAAGGAATTAATTCTCGAGTCAAAACTGTGACCACGAATGTCCATGTGCGTATGTGTGTTGGACTTCTTTCGCACCATACGTTGTCAACCGTGCTAATCAGAGGTGTGGGGGAAGGACAACAAACTAAACACAAAAAGCAGTTCTAATGACATTAGATTTCAATCCGGATGATTTAAAAGTGCATAGCTCCAGTGGCGTCCTAATATCGGAAGGAAGAGCGTTCCAGACAGCCGCAGAAGCAGTGCATCTGAAAACGAGCGATGCAGTGACCATCTTTGTTCCACGGTTAGCTAAAAAACCGCTGCTGCGAGGAAGACCAGACTTTGCGTGATGGTTTAAGCTCGTTGACGAGACCAGCAAAGGTATGACTGGCCTGAGGGTCTTCAGAACCCAGACAGACAGACAAGTAGTTCACATTTGAAGCTATAACATCTATGTGAGCATGAGGACCCAAGATTAGAGTTAAAAATATTCCATTTTGTCATTTAATAGAGAAGGAAAAAAATGGAACAGCCAAAACCGAGTGGTAGATTTGTACATGGAAATTGTTCAAGGGTTTCAGTTAAAATTGTTATTCAAAGATAATTTCATAAATAATGCAGCATCTCAGCGATAAAAATCGAAATAAAATAAAAATTATATTAGAAGTCAACCGGACGTTCAACTCTTGATGGGAAACGGGCAGCACCAGCTGGGCCCCGTTCGGTGATGCTGCTGCCATGCCAAAGGATGAGGCCGGGAGCTCAGACAGCACAAGTGTCAGGAGCAGTCACCGAGGACGCGGCGCTGCGAGTAGCCATGGAGTGAACGACACTCATAAGATGGGCTGGAAACAAGTAAGATGAATAATATTACATTCAAATGGTGATATCCAGATCACAAAGGGTGTGATGTATGTATGTTGAATTTCTTTCACACCGTACCTAGCCAATCATGCTAATTGGAGGTGCGGGGGAAGAACAAACGAAACACAAAAAGCAGTTCTAAAGAAATGAGTGATTGTGACCAGAGGCTCAATCCTCCGAGAATGCATTGCATGTCACGTGGTATCGCCAACCTGCGTATATAATAAACACAGCCTTGCTCGAGACCATCAACTCAAAACAGTCAAATCATGGACACGTTATTTTATGCAGCAGCAGGACAGTGAGCATCTCTATACGCCGGCTTCAGGAATCCTCATTACAGTGTGGCAGTCATCACTACCTTGTGGTTCAGGGGCATTCATGTGCACAAGCGGACCCTGATCACTGTGGGTAAGTAATGACTCACCCCTTCCACAATTTGGATCTACGATTCAATCCAAGCGTCAGCCCATTATTCGTCTCACGAGTGCCATCTCGTTGCTCTGTCGCATTCACTTCTTAACCTGAAGCCATCCAGGTGGCTCAGCGGCACAGCGAGGGGCTCGAAGTTGGAAGGTTGTGAATTCAAACCCTGGTTGGGGGTTGACTCAGCTCATCATTCCTCCGGCGTCGATACAACGAGTATCACAGGAACTCGCTTGGTTTTGAGCCTGAAGCCAACATTTGCATGTAATTTGTATAAACCGTAATTCGTAGATTCTTATGTGCTCTAATCGATGCATGCACCATGAATGTAAGGTTCTACGCTCGTCGCTCAACTGGTGACATGTTCGGCTGCGTGCGAACGAGCGACCTCCTACTGACCAGAGCGAGCGTTGATGCGGAACTGTGTAGAGCCCTCCAGGGAGTAGATGAGAGACAGCTGACCGTACTCTGGCGATTGGTCGCCATCTGTGGCATTCACGTACAGCACCGTGGCACCTGCAGGGAAGGACACAACTAAATGCAGCAATGATGACCTTTGAACAACGAAATGCATAGCAGAAATTAATTTAACATTTATTTGAAAAAAAGTTTAAATTTCAACTTCTCATCTTACTAATCCAGGTAGCCCTTGCAAAACAGGCAATGTTTCAAGTGTTTGAATCTTTTAAAAATAATGTTGTTTCAGAAAAGATTATCATCTTACCCGCCAAAATATTTTCTGGAATAGCGATGCTGTATGAATTCCGGTCAAAAATGGGACTGTTATCATTTTCATCCTGCGAATGAAACAAATCACAATGAGCACGCTGGCATTCTTGGCCGAAATATATTTGACCATTGTCTTTACCACTGCCAAAAGCTGAAAATACTTCAAATAATTGATGTTTAAGGTAGTGGCTCTTCTTCAGGCCACAGAGAAAGAACGGGCAGGAAGACTACTGACAAAACATACGATGCAATGTCGTGGTGGATTATTGTTATTATTATGCTTGTTTAGCAATACTGATTACGTTTCACTCCTGTTAGAAAGTGTCAATGTTTCTCATCAAGTGTCATTAAAGATTATTTCCGTGTACTTTGTCCTTTTCAAAATCCATCATACGTGGCACACAGTAGTCACGCTTATGTCGGCATCATGCTTAAGATTTGCGCTCATTTACCCAGGAAAGCCTGGCTGAGTCTCAAGGCTCTTTCTCATGAGGGTCCTGCCAAGTGTTCACAGTAGAGGGAAATCTTGCTTTGTGTAATCCCCATTGAGTAATGTGCAGGAAACGTTTCAGCGCTGTGATGTTTGGGAGGATGGAAGAGAACCTAAAGGAAACCCCAATGCAGAACAGGGGGAGATCATACAAACTCCACTCACTCACTCTGTAGAACAGAGGGAGATCATACAAACTCCACTCACTCACTCTGTAGAACAGAGGGAGACCATACAAACTCCACTCACTCACTCTCACTTGGTAGAATGGGGGAGATCATACAAACTCCACTCATTCACTCTCACTCGGTAGAACAGGGGGAGATCATACAAACTCCACTCACTCACTCTGTAGAACAGAGGGAGATCATACAAACTCCACTCACTCACTCTCACTCTGTAGAATGGGGGGAGATTATACAAACTCCACTCATTCACTCTCACTCGGTAGAACAGGGGGAGATCATACAAACTCCACTCACTCACTCTGTAGAACAGAGGGAGACCATACAAACTCCACTCACTCACTCTCACTCGGTAGAATGGGGGGAGATCATACAAACTCCACTCACTCACTCTCCCTCTGTAGAATGGGGGAGATCATACAAACTCCACTCACTCACTCTCACTCTGTAGAATGGGGGAGATCATACAAACTCCACTCACTTATTCTCACTCTGTAGAACAGAGGGAGATCATACAAACGCCACTCATTTACTGTAGGATAGGGGGAGATCATACAAACGCCACTAACTCTAACTCTTTAGAACAGGGGGTGGTCATACAAATTCCACTAACTCACTCTAGAACAGGGGGAGATTATACAAACTCCCCTCACTCTCACTCTGTAGAACAGGGAGTGGTCATACAAACTACACTTACTCATTCTCACTGTAGAACAGGGAGAGAGCATACAAACTCCACTCACTCAGTAGAACAGGGAGATATTATACAAACTCCACTCTCACTGTAGAACAGGAGGGATCATACAAACTCTACTCACTCACTCTCACTCTACATAACAGTGGTAGATCATACGAACTCCACTCACTGACTCTAACTCTGTAAAACAGGTAGAGATCATACAAACTCCACTCACTCACTCTCACTCTGTAGAATGGGGGGAGATCATACAAACTCCACTCATTCACTCTCACTCGGTAGAATAGGGGGAGATCATACAAACTCCACTCACTCACTCTGTAGAACAGAGGGAGACCATACAAACTCCACTCACTCACTCTCACTCTGTAGAATGGGGGGAGATCATACAAACGCCACTCATTCACTCTCACTCGGTAGAACAGGGGGAGATCATACAAACTCCACTCACTCACTCACTCTGTAGAACAGAGGGAGATCATACAAACTCCACTCACTCACTCTCACTCTGTAGAATGGGGGGAGATCATACAAACTCCACTCATTCACTCTCACTCGGTAGAACAGGGGGAGATCATACAAACTCCACTCAATTCTAGATTTAAAGCTTTCGTGACTGCTAGGATCCATACTCTTTGGTTCTATTGGGTAAAGTCACGTAGGTGAAAATAAAATAACAAAAAATCACGACGTTTCGGCCACAACACAAGCGGCCTTCATCAGGTTAAGGGACGAGACTGTCTGGAGGACAGCGCTGGAGTGGAAGAAGCCACGCTTAGATCACGACTTTTAAGCTGTGTGAGAAGAAAAAGACCACGCGCCTTGACAAAGGAATTAGCATATAATTTAGCATTGAAATGGCTCATTGAAATAGCTAAGTTAAAGTATACACATCCGCAGAGGTACCCCTTGACAAAGGAATTAGCGCTGGAGTGGAAGAAGCCACGCTTAGATCACGACCTTTAAGGCACTTGGCCTTTTTCTTCTGACACAGCTTAAAGGTCGTGATCTAAGCGTGGCTTCTTCCACTCCAGCGCTAATTCCTTTGTCAAGGGGTACCTCTGCGGATGTGTATACTTTAACTTAGCTATTTCAATGAGCCATTTCAATGCTAAATTATATGCTAATTCCTTTGTCAAAGCGCGTGGTCTTTTTCTTCTCACACAGCTTAAAGGTCGTGATCTAAGCGTGGCTTCTTCCACTCCAGCGCTGTCCTCCAGACAGTCTCGTCCCTTCACCTGATGAAGGCCGCTTGTGTTGTGGCCGAAACGTCGTGATTTTTTGTTATTTTATTTTCACCTACGTGACTTTACCCAATAGAACCAAAGAGTAAAAACTCCACTCACTCACTCTCACTCTGTAGAATGGGGGAGACCATACAAACTCCACTCACTTATTCTTACTGTAGAACAGAGGGAGATCATATAAACTCCACTCACTCACTCTCACTCGGTAGAATGGGGGGAGATCATACAAACTCCACTCACTCACTCTCACTCTGTAGAACAGAGGGAGATCATACAAACTCCACTCATTTACTGTAGGATAGGGGGAGATCATACAAACTTCACTAACTCTAACTCTTTACAACAGGGGGTGATCATACAAACTCCACTAACTCACTCTAGAACAGGGGAAGATTATACAAACTCCCCTCACTCTCACTCTGTAGAACAGGGAGTGGTCATACAAACTACACTTACTCATTCTCACTGTAGAACAGGGAGAGAGCATACAAACTCCACTCACTCAGTAGAACAGGGAGATATCATACAAACTCCACTCACTCAGTAGAACAGGGAGATATCATACAAACTCTACTCACTCACGCTCACTCGGTAGAATGGGGGGAGATCATACAAACTCCACTCACTCACTCTCACTCTGTAGAATGGGGGAGATCATACAAACTCCACTCACTTATTCTCACTCTGTAGAACAGAGGGAGATCATACAAACTCCACTCATTTACTGTAGGATAGGGGGAGATCATACAAACTCCACTAACTCTAACTCTTTAGAACAGGGGGTGATCATACAAACTCCACTAACTCACTCTAGAACAGGGGGAGATTATACAAACTCCCCTCACTCTCACTCTGTAGAACAGGGAGTGGTCATACAAACTACACTTACTCATTCTCACTGTAGAACAGGGAGAGAGCATACAAACTCGACTCACTCAGTAGAACAGGGAGATATCATACAAACTCCACTCACTCAGTAGAACAGGGAGATATCATACAAACTCTACTCACTCACGCTCACTCTACATAACAGTGGTAGATCATACGAACTCCACTCACTGACTTTAACTCTGTAAAACAGGTAGAGATCATACAAACTCCACTCACTCACTCTCACTTTGTAGAATACGGGGGAAAACACGCAAACTCCTACTCACTCTCACTCTGTAGACCAGGTGTAGAATATAGAAACTCCTTTTTCACTGAGAGCCGCGAGTGCTACTGCAATTTTACCCTGCCACCTTGATTGTGTGCAGAAAATAAAATTACAAAGTTCACACGCAATCAGTCTACTATCTACCAGTCCACCAGACCAATATTTGCCAGCTACTTTTGTTTAAAAGGCAAATTCTTGAGTCGCCACACCCTGAAATCGATTGTTCACTCAGAGCTAGACCTAATTTCACTATTTTGCAGTCACTATGTAAATAGTATTCCATTTGCACACATTATTTGACTAATGTTAATTGATATTGGTATGTACCAAACAATCCTTTAAAATGTAAGTATCAAAATAAATAAACATACTTAAACCTGCATTAGTCTGGAGTCAAGTGCTATGGGAGCTGCTGTGGAAATGTCACGTTATTTTATTGGCGCACGGAGAAAAAACCAGGAGACACAGCCGAAGGCACGGACGGATTCTGTGGTAATGAACCACAGCGCAAGTTGAGGTTGTAGGGCTTGGTATCGATGCAAGAGAGACCGTTCAAAGTGATCAATCATGTTTTGGGGAATCAAGTAAGCGTAATGGAGTATGTGTTCTGGGGTCAATGTGTCAGATGCCTCTTCTGTGCTGGTGCTGCCCCTGCTTTGCTGCACACTCCCGATATTTTGCTTGCAAGGATTTATGATGCTGTAAATAAAATAAAAAATCTTTCCGGATGACATCAGTGATACATTGCCACGATGCCAGCAATAACAAACAAAAAAATTCCCCCCCCAAACATGAAGCCTAACACAGTACAGAGTGTTGCCCCATGCTAAAAACATCGGATAAACAATATACTTTAAACACGGGCATCGACATGCCTATTGCGTGGCATCACATTAACTCATCGTAGCATCTGCCACAATCGAGGGGCACCCTGATGCGTGCTCCGCCATGGTAAACAATCTCATTTGGAAAGCCGCTGAGTGCAAATCATAAATGCATCCTTTCTGCCTTTTGTTCCTTTTCATGTTTTATGTTGTTTTTTTTGCTTTTTCCCCAGCGCATTCTAAATCGAGCTACATACATTGTCATGTCATGAGACAAAAGTATCCGTTTGGAACTCTTGCAGAGTAGCGCAGATGTGACGGAACAACTTCTGAGATTTTGATTTAAAGCTTTCGTGACTGCAGTAATTCATATTCTTAGTTTTTTCGGTAAAGTCACGTTGAAGAGAAACAACAAAATAACAAAATATATAAAACAATAAAAAATTCTCACGACGTTTCGACCATAACT